AAAAAAAGCAATTAATATGATATAAGAGAAACCGTTATAAGTCTTGGAGCAAATAATTACAGATCACACGAGATTTATAGTTTTACATATAACAGAAATTACAGTACGGGTGCACCATTAGGTGCACCATATAGATATAAAAAACAGTATCATACTAATCATCAGTAATTCAGTATATAAAATCAATGTGCACAACGTGATCAGCGCACATGTTTTGTAATTCAGATTTTATACACTGCCATAATTCATAACCTCTAGTTTTTCAAATTCGAAGAGTACATCCTATGTCACGGATTATGGTTAATGATCAATGATCCAGACAGTCGCGTGACCGAATGGTGTATCATCAGCTTCTTAAAGAAACAATACTTCAATAACTTGTAATGAGCTTTAAATTTTGTTTCTGTAAAATGTAGGCGTATTTTAACAATATCAATTTTTAAACCGCAAAAACTTTTATGCAAGTTTTTCCTTACCGTATAGTCGCGAAATAACGCCCCTGCGCGACTATACGGTAAAAACTATTGAAATATTTTCAAAATTTGCTACAATTCTTTAACAACCATTCAATAAAATTCGATAAAAATTTTTATTTTGACTCTGCGAATTCGTAGAATCAAAACAAGAAATATTCATCGAGGTATGAATAATAAATTAGGAGCATAAAAATAATTCTCTTTTTAAAACTTGTATAAAAGGTTTTGGCGGTCTGAAAAATTGAAAAAAAAAATCGTATAATTGTCGGGTATAGACTTCTCGTGCTATATAAAATGCATCAAAAACGGAATTTTCTTTGCATATAAAGAATTCTCCATTCAATCCAGATAATTAAATCCTAATATATAAAATAAGCCAATTCTCACCAAAACGAGTAGATCGCCCTTACTGACAGCTATACGAATCCAACGATCCGCACCATCTATTTATTAAAAAAGTAATTACTATGAAATCACAAATAATTCACTTTTTGTCAAAAAAATTCATTTACCGCGAACATCAAAATATCCGGAACCATCAATAACAAAGCGAATTTCTTCATCTTCATGAAGATGCCTGTATATTTTTGATACATATAATCAAACCCGTGAAATTTCTCAATAAAAGAAAAAAGTAGCAATAATGATAATACTCTTCAAAAAATGTCTTAATTTTGCTTTCGTAAGCGTCACCTAGCCCTTCTCTCGAACAATTAATCTATATGATTTGTTCAAAAACAAATTAATATACATTCTTTTTGTTCCTTTTTTTTTTTTTAACAAATTAGTAAAAATCACGAACTTCATCCCGATTTTTATAACTCCTTTCTTTACATATTTTATCTATTTCACCAAGATAATCGTCACCCAATTGCCAGTAGAGAACTCCAAAATTTGCAAGCTCTTGGGGAGTTACCGGCGACAGGGGAAGTTTTTCATGCGGCTCACGAGGGTCTGTGTCTTCGTTGTCATAATAATATGCACGCATTTTTGATCGTTATCAAGCGAAACAGAGGAAAACAGATAGGAGGATCGTCGGGTAATCAATTTCCTAACCTATAGTGGAAATTTTTAAGGAATGCCCCCCTATATATATATTAGCATTTGACTGCCACAGAAGTTTATAAATGGCTTTTTTTTAACATTACGTAAGCATATACGTACCTAGATTTGGGCATTTATTGGCCGTATATTTCGACTAAATAATCAAAATGCGATTGATGCAATAAAAAAAAAGTATATTTTTCGGCATTTGTTTCGGATTGCGGCATAAATTATGACTTGCGGCTTTATTTTTGCCGAAAAATCAGTACCTAAATACTTTCGGCGCAGCCGAAACTAATTTCTATAGTCACGCACCAGTGCAGAGAAGGATTAGGCATAGTGATAACGATATTTAATTATATATACAGTCGACTTTGAATATACCGAACTGCATGTTCTGAAGGATTTTGTTCGGTATAGAGTAGTGATATGAATCGAAAATCGATTAATCGTTTAGTTGGCTAAGTTGACGACTAATCGATTAATAATTTTGACCCAACTATTAATCGATTAACCAACTATATAATATTAATTGACTAGTTGCTTTTGCATTAATTGGCTTTTTAAAAAAATTTTTATCAGATTTATATTCATAAATTAGGTCAACTAAACAATTAATTTTTTTTTTTTTTATAAGCGATCCTGCCTTTATTCATGTGAACTGTTATATAATTTATATACAAATGTATTAAATCTTTACAACTTGTTGCTCTAACTCAATAAAGACTCACCAGGTTGAATACCCAATGTAACCTGCCATAACAACTGTTTATCTCTCTTGGGATCCTTAACTTACTAAGGATTTTGTACCATGACTGATACCTCCCATGATTATAAGTAAGCTATCATATGTCTTGTCAGAAACACTTATTGTTTTTGTTGGGTCTTAGCTAGTGAGAACTATGCTGGCTTTTTTCTCTATGAGATCCAATCTTCAATTATTTTGTCTCTTTTCTTTGATATCTTTATCTTTTCCCTTCTCTTTTTACTATTATTTTCTCCTGCCCTTTTCTTCTCATAGTTGGTGGCCTGAGAATTGATATTTTCTTTGTCCGCTTTATTCTTCTTTCTGGGCCTTCTTTTTTCAGCCTTTTCTCTTTTTTTCTCTTTGGTTATACTGTTATACTTTTTTCAATCTGTCACTAGCTCAAAAAGTGCTTAAAAAACTGGCATTGGAAGTGGTTTAGTATAGCTTGTATGAACTTGCTAACCTTTTTTGCTTCACTTACAATTGTGCTTATATTCTTTCATCTCTGTTTTGTAATTAATCTCTTCATCAGTTTAATTCTTGCTGAGATTTTTTTTTATATACCCTTGCCGAAAATTAAATCTTATATTTTCTGTATATCTATAGTCTCAAGCTTTTCTTTTTCTTTTGTTACCTTTTCTATAAGTAATTCGCTTACTTCTTCTTTTAAAATACATCATATTTTCTGAAATTCTGAGTAGACAACAAGGTGGCCTTGTGTCTTAGCTTCTTGTCAACATATCTTGTATATATTGTCTGAGTAAAGCTTTGCCTTTCTCATATTTAGAACTTGCATTGTTAGGAGCAGGCTATTTAAGCACTTTATCTTAAAGATCTATTCTTTATTTTGGGCTATGCTTTTGCAGTTTCTTCCTCACACTTGCTCTATATTTTTCCATACTTTGCTTTGCATGATTGCTTCTGTTTCTTGCTTAGCATCAATCCATTTAATTATGCTTTTTAGATTTTTTCACTCAATATCAATAGTGGCCTTTGTTAGTTGTATAATAAAGTTTTGTGTTGAGTCATCTATTTTTAGTTCTTCTATTTCAACTCTGTTGCTGCATGTTTGTTCTATAGCTATCTTGGATTGATTATTTCTATACTATAAGCATTTTTTTTTGCAAGCTTATCTGCTTTCTCATTTTCTTTTACCCCACTATAAGCTTTTACTTTCTTGAAATAGATTTTAAACTCTTTTAAATTAATAGTTCACTGTATTTGCTCTAATAGACAGAGGTTTTTTCTTTTTAGTATTTTGGAAGCTCTTCTCTCCTTTTGGCTCACTTGTACTGCCTGTATTGCTGCTGTGCTATTAGTATAGATCTCGATTTTAATTTTGTATTGGGCTGCTAGAAGGGCTGTTTATAAGTTCTGCTCTTGTTGATAATGGCCAATCTTTTATTGCTCCGTGAAAGTTGGCTAGTACTTGTCTGCTGGCTTTATTTTCTTTTTTTGAAACTGCAACTCAGTCAAAACTCATTTTCTGGCTCTTCTCTTAAATTAAATAAAGATCTATCTGTATAAAAGAAGATCTTCTTTTTATTTTTTAGCTTAACCACTATTTTTTTATTTTTTCTGCTACTTGTATGCTTTTGATAGCTTGATCTATTATCTCACCCTCTATTGGATAAATTGTAATACTTTTAACTTGTTGCTTCTAAGTACTTTCTTCTCTACTTGAAGATAGGCTTGTTTGCTAATGTGGGCTTATAAAGTAGTTTAGTGGAATGCAAAGTTCTCATCTCTTATCCTGAGAGTAAATTTTTTAAATAAATCTTGGGTTGATCATTAGTATATTGCTTTTCTA